ACCCCAGCCTCCTCACATCACCATGACTTTGCCCTCTTCTATCTACCTTCACCGCATTGGGCTCATCCAGTTATCATACTGGCAACCCTCAACTTTATATTTCTAGCCCAGATCTCTCCCACTGAACCCCAGGCTCATTTGTCCAACTGCTTCTTTTTTTTTTTAAGTTTTAAAAATTTTAGTAAAGATCGATGTGGGTTTTTTTATACCTTTATTTTCTTATTTTTATGTGGTGCTGAGGATCAAACCCAGTGCCTCGTACATGCTAGGTGAGCGCTCTACCACTGAGCCACAACCCTAGCCCATTTAATTTTTGTTTATTTATTTATACGTGGTGCTGAGAATCGAACCCAGTGCCTCACACATGCCAGGTAAGTGCTCTACCGCTGAGCCCCAGCCCCAATGCATCCAATTGCTTTCTTGACATTTTCATCTTCATCAAGCTATCTATTATCTCAAATGCAACATGCCCTTAACAGAGCCCCCAGTATTCCTCCAAACAAACCTGCTGTTCTGCAGTTCTCCCATCTCAGTTCATGGCAACTCCATCCTTTCTTGCTCAGGACAAACACCTTGGTGGTGTCAGTGCTGTTTAATTTTCTTGCATCCATTCAAGCTGTTAGTAAATCCCATAATATAAAATAATGAATCCCACTCCCACTATTATGTATAATTATAATGCATCAATTAAACAAAAGAGCATTTCACTTATAACCCTCTACTGGATCCTTATTTATCTCAGAGTAAAGACCAACTTTTTACAATGGCCAACAAGACCTTACACAATGATCCTCCATTTTTTATTTCTCATGTTATTTCCTCTGTTGCCTCTGCATGAATGTTAGCTCTACACAGGCAGAGGATTTTGTCTGTTGGCAGCACTCAATCCATATTTGTTGAATGAATAATGAAGAAAGGCCAAAGAGAGGAGAGGCTAGAGGAATGGAAGCGGTCATGAGGTACTGGAATTATCTTGGTGAAAAATGGCGAGATCCTGAATCAGATGGTAATGATGGGAAAGGCATGGTGGGATGGAGTTTAGAGACATTTTACCATAAACCTATCAGCCAATCAATGCTAATGATGAGGAGTTAGCCATCCCTGGCTTCTGACTTGTAGAGCAAGAGACTGGTACAAGGTGAAGCAAGATGAAGGGGCAGTTATAGAGTTTGGGTTTGAAGATGCTGAGTATGAGCGCAAACTGTTCAGTGAGCAGTTGGTGTAAGCAAAAATAACCAAAATGGTTTTGGCACATAATGAAAACATAAATAACCAGGACTTCATGGATCAGCAATGTTTTTGTTGTTTTTTTTTTTAATATATATTTTTGGTTGTAGGTGGACACAATAGCTTTATTTTTATGTGGTGCTGAGGATCGAACCCAGTGTCTCACATGTGCTAGGCAAGCGCTCTACCACTAAGCCACAACCCCAGCCCCTCAGCAATGCCTTTTATTCAGCAACAGAGTCAGGCATTGGAGGGGCTTACTTTCTGGGTAGAAAATGGCCACTGGTTATAGAGGGGGTCTGGGTTTGTTTTTTTCTTTTCTTTTTTTTTTTTTTTAGTACTGGGAATTGAACCCAGAGGTCCTTAACCACTGAGCTACAACTCCAACCCTATTTTATATTTTATTTAGAGACAGGGTCTTGATGAGTTGCTTAGGGCCTCACTAAGTTGCAGAGGCTGGCTTTGAACTTGTGATCCTCCTGCCTTAGCCTCCCGAGCTGCTGGGATTACAGGCATGCACCACCACACCCAGCCAGAGGTCTGGATTTTATAGGTAACACTGAGAGATGACTTAATCACTTCAACAGAATGTGTCAGTTTGGGCATTCAGGGAAAAGACTGTAAAAATTTGAAACTTTTTACTGGGAAAGGATGGAGGGTCCAGAGCTCAGCATTCTGTTATCTTTTTCCTCTGGGGGTCATTGTATTGTCACTGGGACAGGATTAATGTGTGGCTTCACTGACACTGGGAAAGGATCAATATTTTCCCAAGAATTGCCATTTTAGGATTGATGTTCACCTCCTTCCCAGGGACTGTCTTGTCGGTGGGAAAGGATTTATTGGGGAAGGATCAATGTTTTGCCTTCTTCCTCTCTTCCTCCTCCCAGGTCACACAGTCTTGGGAGGTTGTCATTTTCCATATCCTTCTTTATGGAAGCTGCCTAACTAAAAATAAATTATATAGACTATATCATTATTGTTCCATTTCTCTTGGTTAATTTTTTTTTAAATTTTTGTAGTTGTAGGTAGACAGAATGCCTTTATTTTATTTTTTTTTTTAATGTGGTGCTGAGGATCAAATCCAGTGCCTCACACGTACCAGGCAGGCGCTCTACCACTGAGCCCCAGCCCCAGCCCCGGTCACATATGTTTAATGATCCAGCCAAGCTCATCATATGATAAAGATCTGTTTTTAAAATAATTTTTTATATTATACAAATATTATATATTCATTGTCAAATTATCACAGGAAGTCAAGAAATGCTCCTCTCTCCAATAGGTAGTAAACTTAGTAAACCTCCTAAACTGTTGGTATAAACATGACAGTAACACATTTTTAAATTTACATTAGTTTGACAAGTCATCTGTTTTTATTTTAATAATTTGCAAAGATCTTACTCAAAGTAAGACCCTTCTAATTATTCTGACCCAAGACTCTAGCTTTCTTTCTGAGGCATTTTTCTCACGATGACATGCAGCTGCCATACCCTCCCAGGCTCCATCCTTAGGCAGACCACCAGGACTTTGTGTTGGTGCCTGTCACTTGATAGCCCCAGGGGAGGCTTGAGGCCAAGTGTGCTGGTGCGAGAAGCAGGCCTCCACCCCACTGGTTGCAGAAGGCCCAGGAGGATTCCAAAGGAGTTTCAGGATAAAAGTAAAGGTGGGCAGAAGAACGCCAGTTTTCTTTAGCCAGCCTTGTGTAAAAGAAGCAAAGCGGCTGGGTGCCATGGCACATGCATGTAATCCCACCCGCTCTAAAAGCTGAGGCAGGAGGATCGAAAATTCAAGGCCGGACTCAACAATTCAGCAAGGCCCTAAGCAATTTAGTGAAACTGTGTCTTTAAAAAAAAAAAAAAGGATTGGGGATGTAACTCAGTGGTACAGCACCTCTGGATTCAATTTCCAGTAAACCTCCCTCCTTCCACCCCACACCCTACAAAACAAAAAAAAAGCAAAGGAGAGTGGAAATCTACAAAGAGAAAAAAATTCATTGACCTCCTTCAGGAAAGGATGAATCTGTTTAATGGACGGAGAAGTCAAGCTCTCACACAGGCCCTGCATCTTCAGGGATTCGGCCGAGGCATGGTTGGAATTAGAAGGTTTGGAATCTGGAAACTGGGAACCATTCTTGGTTTCATGGAGCCTCCGTTTATTCATCTGTAAAGTGGGAATATGATGCAGCTGTAAAGGTCGCTGTGAGAGGCAACATGGTGAATGTGTAAGGACGCTCTGTAAACGCCCAGCTGTGATAGATTTTGTCAGAAGCCTCCTGGGTGGGGCACAGTGTACTTCCAGACTTTGTGGGAATCAAACAGCTTCAGGCAGCCTTTCCTAAAGTAGCTCCCTCCTCCTCAGCCCTTCACCCCTTCAACCTTTCGCTCTGCTTTTTCTTCATGGCAAGTATCATGCCCTGAAAATATACTGCCTCCCCTACTAGACTGCCTGTTTCCTAAGAGCAGACTCTGCTGTTTTGATCACTCTGTCCCTCCAACTTCCCAGAATGTGGCCTGACATATAGAAGGTGTTCAATGAACAGTTGTTAAATAGTTGAGTGATAAATGCATAATCAGATTTTCTTCTAGAAAGCAGGGTAGTATATGTCACGAGCAGCTTCTCAGCCTTGTCTGGTTACCAGGAGTTCCCTTCCGGATATCTGCACTGGACCCCGGACCGCGACGTACGCGAACACCAAGCACGAACTCGATTGCCTTTTGAAATGCTGGTTTATTCGCACACCACACAAAGCAATACACGAGGTGACTGGCTCACACTGCACGATCTTACTCTCAGGCGATGAGAGTTGATTGTGAGCAAATACATGGAGTTTCCCTCGCGCTTATATACTCTATATGTTTACAACAAACTTGTTTATGTCTAACTTATCTAACATAAGCACACTACCTAGTTACATCATCAACTTATCTAACATGGGCATACTATCTAGTCATCCTATAACCAAAACATGTTTACAACTAAAAAGTCACTTAGTCACTGCAAAGTCCAAAACAAGTCCAAAACAAGTCCTTTTGCTGATTCATGTTGTTTATTCATCCTTGATGTTTACTCCTGTCAGTATAGTGGGCAAACAGCACTAATTCTTCAACTTTTAATTGGTGTGGCCAACACAGGTGCCTGCCCCAACACTAAGGGTCCAAGTTAGCAGGTCTGACTGGGCCAGATGAATTTCCTATATATTTTTTTTAAAGTTTTGTTTATTGGCTTTTATTTTTTGTTGATTTGTTTTTGCACTACTGGGGATTGAACCCAGGGACTTGCACATGCTAGGCAGGTGCCCTACCACTGAGCTATGTCCTCTAAATTTCCTATTTTTAACAAGTGCCCAGATAATTCTGTTGCCCTTAGTCACTCCAGATCTGGCAAATCTTGGTTTGACTCCAACCTGCCTTTTACTAGTTGTTTGATCTTGGGGAGGTAACTCCTTAACTTCTCTGGAGTCTGGTTCCTGAATTGTAGATACTAGGGATGTCAGGTCATGTTCATGGCATAATGCCAGATGCTCAATTGGCTGCCATTATTATTATAATGTATCATTAAGCCCAGGCAGAAGATCTTTCCTCCTAGGGGCTCACTCTTGGAATCTCCTCAAAGTGGGGTCCTGGCCAGCATGGACTGCAGAATTTCGGCTCCACTTGAGATCTACTGACTTGAAATTTGTTTTACCAAGATTCCAAGGCCTTTTTCTTTGTACACTCGAGTTTAAAAAGCACTGCTCCAAGTCACATGTACTGTTTTCTTGCTGTCTTTAATTTCAGGAGTCTGCCCAGGAGGTTCCTAAGTCCTGGCATCCAGAGCCTCAGTCCTCTGCAGCAGAAATTTTTCACCCTGCTGAGGGCAGAGGAGGGACCTCCGGTTCATTCTGGGTGCGTGCCCCACTGAAGAGGGTAGGAGGGATTCCAGAAGCCCCTCGACTTCTTTACAGAGCTCTCAGCAATTGCCTGGGAAGCCAAGCGATGGATCCAAACTCTATCTTGATTTCTTCTCAGTCTGGGACCTGCTCCCACCTGGCGGAACTCTGTGTGGAAGGTGAGAGAAGCCCAGCCTCCCAAGAGCTGGAGAAAGACTCCCCCTTTCCCTGGGGCCAGGCCTCCAGTTCTAGCCTCACTGATACCAACTGGTTTGGGGATGAGCACATCCAGGCCAAGAGGGCGAGAGTGGAGACCATCGTCCAAGGCATATGTCTCTCTCCCAACCCCCTGGTGCCAGGCAATGCCCAAGCCAGGGACAGCCCATGCTGCCCAGAGAAGCGAAAGAGAAAGCAGAGTCTCCCCATGCAGCAAGGCCCCCTGAAGCCAGGCCCTGCCTGGGGCAACAGGAAGGGGGGTCCTGGGGTGAGAGAACAACTCCATTGGCTCAAGCAACAGCTGAGACATCTGCAACAGCACATCCTGCAGGCTGCCGAGCCCAGGGCTGCAGCTCAGGGCCCCAGAGGCTCTGAGCAGGGGCAAGGCCCCCTGAGAGAGAAGCAGAGGAACAGCTGTGAGTCTAACCCCTGGGCTGCTGACAGTGACCGCCATCAGGATTCTAGTGCGTACCTCTGTGGGGCAGAAAAACACAGAGTGTCTGAGCCTGAACACCAGTCTGAGGAGCTCAGGTTCCTTTCTTCTGGAACACAAGCTTTGTTGGAGATTCTGAGGAAAGAACTGACCAGGGCAGTGTCCCAGGCTGTGGACTCTGTTTTACAAAAGGTGCTTTTGAATCCACCAGGCCACCTGACCCAGCAGGGCAGAAGTTTCCAGAGACTAGTGCCAGAGGGCGGAAGTGAGCCCTCGCCTCCTGTGGGAGGGACCTATAAAGATCTACTTACTCTGGCCACCTTGCCCAGAAGGACCCAGCCACAAGTTGGGGTCCCTGTAGGAAACTTACCACTAGTCAAGCCTCTAGATTCTCCGAGGTACCCTGTCTCACCAAGAATCTCCAAACCCTATCAGGGTCCCGTAACAAATTATCCCTTGGCTATTCCTTCCCACGTCCAGGAAAATCAGATTCTTAGCCAGCTATTGGGTCGTGGACCCAATGGTCATTGGAGCGACAATCCTCCGCTGGACTCATCTTCACAAAGTCACCCCTCTATAGAGTCTGCTCTGCAACCTTGGGTCTGGAGCCAGCAGCTGTGCCCGCTGCCTTTCACCACAGTGCCCCATCTGGAGAGCCGGCCCCTCCTTCCCTCCGTGAAGACGGAGCACAGCAGCCTGGAGGCTGTCACAGATGCAACTCCCTTCTCTTCCGTGCATATATCCTTTCCTGGTCATTGAAATTATGGCTACAGCCCAGAGAGGCAGGAAAACTGGAAGTTGAGGAGGAGGCAGGGACAGATAACTGTATTGCATAGGGACCAACTTTTCTTTCCACCGTCTTCTTAATATGGCCTCTGAACATTCCTTCCCTGACTCACAGCCTATTAATTGTGTGACCAAGTGGAAACCACATTCTAGCAGTGAGGGATCCTGGGAAGGTTCACTTAGTTACTTCTGTGACTCATTGGATTCCACCATGACTAACTTGTTCCTTTGGGTCTGAGAGAGTTTTGTTTGCTTTTAAACTCAAATGGGCTTCCACAATACAGTACATACCCTGTGGAAGAAAGAGCTCTGCCATTTGATTTCTAGCTGCTCATAGCCCTAGGCAGAGAAGGTCAAAGGAATGTCACATCTGAGATATGGCTTCCCCAACCTCATGGATCTACAGGGAAAAAACCTGCATGTTAGATAATTCATGGGGAATACATGAGGATCCAAGAACTTCTGGGGGAAAAGAGGAGTTTTTCTTAGAGACTAAACATAGATGTCCTGAAAGGACCAGAAGTCTTTGGTTTAAGGAACAGCTTCCAGGCTACAGCCAGGTGGGATGGAACCCGAGATCTGGGCACAGGAGGGAGAGGACCCCCACCTCCACAACTGGGAAATTCTGAGAGGTCCAGGATGGCCTGTGGTGGTCTGAATTTTATCATAGCCTTTAGACAGAGCCCCCTCCCCAAAACAGTGTTTCCCAGAGTAATACTCAGGATAGAAGTTGTTGAGTTAGAAGAGCAGAGGAGCTGGGCACAGTGGCACATGCCTGTAATTTTCGCCACTCAGAAGGCTGAGGCAGGAGGATCAAGAGTTCAAAGCCAGCCTCAGTAATTTTGTGAGGTCCTAAGCAACTTAATGAGACCCTGTCTATAAATATAAAAAGGGCTGGGGATGTTGCTTAGTGGTTAAGCACCCCTGGGTTCAATCTCTGATACAAAAAAAAAAAAAGTACTTTTGGCAAATACTCTTTCCTTTTTTTGTGGAGGGAGTACTGGAAATTGAACCAGTTCTAACACTGAGCTACATCCCCGGTCCTTTTTATTTTTTATTTTGAGACAGTGTCTTGCTAATCTGCTGAGGCTGGTCTCAAACACGTGATCCTCCTACCTCAATCTCCCAAGTTGCTGAGATTACAGGCATGTATCACTGCACTTGACTGGATTAGTTTCTTCACTGCAGGCATTTTCAGAGTCTTTAACATGCTGAGGTCTACTGTGAAGCTCTAAAAGGAAAACGTAAGCAGTTCCAAACTCTTGGGACCAAAGAAACCTCTTCCAACAAGCATCCTGCAGGACTAAACCTCCTGAGAATGTATTTTTGGTGTTGCATTTTTAGTGAGCTGTGTTCACGCGCTGTGTTCACCGTGGGCATCTGTGAGTACAGATTCTAGAAGTTAATGTGTCTGTGAAGTCATATCTAAGTGCGCATAGTCCAAGTCCAGTCCCCTGTCTGGCAGCTGCAGGGCAGGATGGGGTGGGGCTGGCTCACTGCCCAGCCTGAGGTGGCCTTGTGTCCTAAGTGCTCTGAGCGCCCCCTGCTGGTCCATGATGTTAGAAACATCCCATGGCTTGGACTTTCTTGGAAGGCAGTGAGCAACCGTAAAACCAGTGGCAAGAACATCATTTGCCAGCGCTGACTGCCTCTTCACACAGGAAGAGTCATCTTGGAAGTACACATACCAGCATAGACTGACTTTCACTGTGAGAAAGGCTGTCTGGCCTTTGTTAAGAGAGCACTGGCTAAGACTCCCTACTAAATTTGGGCAGCAGGGGGTCCCTCAAGAAGGCTCAGCCCAGTGGCACATGCCTGTAATTCTAGTAACTCAGGAGACTGAGGCAGAAGGTTCTTGAGATCAAAGCCAGCCTCAGCAATGACAAGGCGCTGAGCAATCCAGTGAGACCCTGTCTCTAAATAAAATTCAAAATAGGGCTGGGGATGTGGCTCAGTGGTTGAGTACCCCAGTATCAAAAGAAAAAAAAGAAGGCCCAGCCCCTAAAGATTTATTTTGTCAATTTGCATCTTGACTGCCTGTAGACATTTAGGTTATATAACCAGTCTCCAGAGATGGAAAAAAGAAGCAAATACTCCATTCAGTCAGAAAAAAGAGAAAAAGAAACCACAAGGAACAGGACAATTGCTATTTGGATAATCTGCTAACATTATTTGGTAACTGGTTTTTCAAAGTTACTTTTCCTTGACACTGAGATAAATCCAGGAAGGACTGAACCCTGGTCACTTGAAGAAGGCCAAACTCATGTTCTTCTTCACAAGGTACCCCAGCTCCAGCCTCCTGAAGGCTTATTTCCCCGATGTCCAGGTAAAGTCAAAGTTTCAGCCCCTGCAAAACTCCCAGCTCTGTATGAGGAAGGTCCAGATCCTCACATGTTAGCTCCTGTTCATGCTGCTGATCTAACTGGTGTGGTTCCCAGTTCTGGGCAGAGACTGCCCAAATAATCACTGGCCTAGGAAGGTTGGGTGTCTGAATTTTTAGGCTGCTGAGTTATGGATAATCCCAGAAACACATGGGAAGGGAGAGTAGGGGGAGAGAGAAACACTAGTAACTGGAATCTTTGGCCTAGTTTTGTCTCTGCTGGGAGCCTTATGAAAACCTTATGAAAAACTATATACACTGTCAGACATTGTCAGACTTACATCAAGTGTGACAATAAGGAAAATGAAAGGAATCAAACCTTGCCTGTTGCCATGGAAAAGTTTCTGGGGGCTTCCATAACAGCTAAGGGCTGTTTTTTCAGGTCTTCCCCCCTTATTCAGTTGTTGGTTGATCCCTGTAGCAAATTCTGATTTAGATTTCAATTCATTTTGTAACTCTAAAAACTGCCCTTTGACCTATACCCTTACCACTTCCCTCAACCCTTTACATAAGTAGAAGGCTCCCTGGCTGCTCTGCTAGCACCACAGTAACCTTGACCCTAGACTCTCTCAAAGGACCACTTAGACACCATGAAAAGATTCTCTACAAATCTAGTACTTGAAGAATTATTTTCTAGTGGGCATTTTAGAACTAATTCAGATTTTGAAGGCCAACTGAATAGGCCTGGTAAACAGCTCTGGCTTCTTTCTCTAAAGGAAGTCCCATTATTTGGTTGAAGCTATTAACATCAACCCTGTGTTGAATTTGATGCTGACAGTTATGATTTGGAGCACCTCAGGGCAAATGTTTGACTTGATGGACTCCTTGTTTACACAGTTCAACCGCTGCATCACCTCTCAGATGATCAAGTGGTTCAGCAACTTTCGTGAGTTTTATTACATCCAAATGGAAAAATTTGCCCGTCAAGCAGTTTCAGATGGTGTCACAAATCCCAAAGTGCTGGTGGTTCTCCGTGATTCAGAACTTTTTCGAGCCCTCAATATGCACTATAACAAGGGAAATGACTTTGAGGTAAGACCATGTACCAGGGTCCCATCAGGTCTGAGCAGTGTCTTTCCTATGGGACTGGGTGTTTGCGAAAAGATCCCCTTGATGGTGTCTCTCCTTGTCACTGAGTATCACAGGGCCCTGGAGCCAATCTCTGTATCACCAACAGAGATCTCAGCCTAAACCTCTGCACTCAGGCAATAGATAGATGCAGCAAATACCGCCCATCTTCATGCTGAAACATAAGCAGAAGTCTACCAGGAGTTATGCCAGTCTAGACTTATTCTGTAATTATCAAATTTCAGAATTTGCTTGACCTTTTTATCTTTGTGTCAGGAGACTCAGGACTAAATGCTAGCAACGAGTTTTGGCCTAGATTTCCTGAACAATTTCTGTTCATCATTTGGCTCATATCTATATTCTCACTTGGGGCTGGGGATGTGGCTCATGCGGTAGCGCGCTCGCCTGGCATGCGTGCGGCCCGGGTTCGATCCTCAGCACCACATACAAACAAAGATGTTGTGTCCGCCGAAAACTGAAAAATGAATATTAAAAATTAAAAAAAAGAAATGTATCTATATTCTCACTTGAACAGTTTTATAACAAATAAAAATACTCAAGCCTTGGGCTAGGGCTGTAGCTCAGAGGTAGAGTGCCTGCCTCACACGTGTGAGGCCCTGGGTTCGATCCTCAGCACCACGTAAAAATAAAGAAAATATTATGTTCATCTACGACTAAAAAATATTTTAAAAAGATGCTCAAGCCTCTGAGCCTTGGGATCCCTATGAAGGCACACTGGTGGCACCTTAGGGGTAAGTGATAGTAAAGGGTGAGCCTCAGTGTCACTAGTGTGAATTCCTATCAGGAAACAGGTGGAGGAGCCTCTTGGACAGCTGGCAGCTGTTAGGCTGCATCTCATTCTGGAGATGCCAGGTGTGTCTTGTCATAGACTGCATTTCCCTCTTCTTGCTTTTGTCTCGATTGTGATCACAGGAGCAGTTTATTGATATCTCTAATGATGTAAGAACTGCTGGTGCCCACTGGCTGGATGCTCAGGCTGAATGCTGGGAAACCTAAGCCTACCTGTGGGAGGAAAAGGAGCCAGGGCGTGTGGGACAGTGGCACCACCACACCTTTCCATGTGGGGGTGATTACTTAGCAGGTAGTGGCAGCAAGTCCTAGGCCAAGCCGGATCTGGACGCTGTGTCCCACAGTGTCACTTATGGTGCCAGTCTGGGTAAGGGTCCTGGAACAGCTCCATTCCATTGGCTTTGGAAGCAGGAAGGTAAGCCCTTGGGATCCAGCCCTAAAGGGTAGTGGGGTGAGGTATGACAGACATGGGGGATACATCTTTCCACAACAGGTCTGAGGAAAAGAATACTAAAAACCTCTTTGAATCACAGATTTAATTTCAATTAATTAGTTTCTACTAACTTACTAAAAATCACACACAAATGAAACCAGATCCTCCTACAAGGGGAGTATTTCTTAATACACTTTCTCCCAGGGCTCTCTCACTGGAGTCTGTGTTTGGAGAGGGAGCAGGGCATGCCTGGGCTGCAGCAGCCAGGGGCTGCTAGAGCAGGGTTGCTCTTATCCCACTACCCAAGAAACAGGTAGCATCTGTCTGGGGGGGGGGGGGGCTCCGTGGCACCAGTGCTTCCAGCCTCATGTCTTTCCTTTCTTGGGGGGTCTCCTTGGGAATGCAGGTCCCAGATTGCTTCTTGGAAATTGCCAGCGTGACATTGCAAGAGTTCTTCAGGGCTGTCTCCACAGGGAGAGATTCAGATCCTTCCTGGAAGAAACCCATTTATAAAATTATTTCAAAACTGGACAGTGACATCCCAGAGATATTCAAATCATCCAGGTATCCCCAGGAGGTGTTTCGGAGTTAAAGTCAAACAAAATGAGGAGTGACTGGCCAGAGTTTCCTGAGTTTGTCTTAAATGGTAACCGTTTAGCTATAGTCATATAAAATGGGCACATGAACTCCCTGCCCTTGAATAAGTACTATTACCATTCTGATCACTTATTTCCTTTCTAGAATCATAAAATATTTAAACTTAATTATAAAATATATCAACTGAGTATATCAATGTATCAGTAGTATATTGTAAAAAAAAACACAAGTTTGGAATAGGAAGACTTGAATCTCAATCCACTGTTGCCAGGTGTTGAGACTGACAACTTCCTGTTAGCTCTGCATCTGTAAAATAAGGTTGTAAGAATTAAAGATACTATGTCCTGAAGTGTTCTGTGACACGTGACACAAAAGCTATTTTCCCTCTCTTCCTCTAGCTATCATGGTATTTGGGGCTTTTACAAATGACTATTTTCATTTTACTTACCTGTTTCTCAAGCTCCACCTATCTGCCAGACACTGTCACATTCATTAAACTTCTGCCCTGAAAAGCAGCTATTATCCAAACAGAACCTTGAGCAAACCAAGGTTTTTGAACTATGAAGTAACTTCCCAAATGTTGTAAGGCCAGGACACTTGGGTTGGTAGACCTGGTCAGGAACACGGAGGAACCCAAGACATTCTGAGCAAGGCTGCATGCTACTCTACACTGTCACTCAGGATCTCAAACAGGAAACCACCACTAGAGCAAGCATTCAGCACTGATATGGCACTGACAACGCTGCCTGGTACTCCACCTCACAGGTGATGAATAGCAAAACTGGGATAAATACAGAAATGGAAATTCTCCAATTCCAAAAGAAATTACAGTCCGTGGATAAACTTCCACAGGTGAAGCAATTTGTGAAATCCACACTTTCTTCCTCCCTTCTAGCCCAACACAAACTGTGACTCACTCTGAACAAATGGGCAAGAGACCTGCAAAGCTGAGTAACTGCATCTCTCTTCTTAACTAGTCGGAATGAAGCCTGTAAACGTGGCCAAAGGCATGCAGGGTAGAGTGGGATAATAATTGGCTTGGGCTTTTTAGTCCTGAGAGATGTCTGTGACTGCACTAGCTTCCTTCCTTCCCATCTACACAGAACAAATTCCATTGTGCAGCTACTCCACTTCCATAACTTAGAGGGTGAGGCGCTAGCTGGAACGGATAACTCCCTAAACTATTGCTAGATACTCAGCACAAAAAAGATGATACAACAGCACAAAAAAGATGAAAGATGACTTTCCTTTGAATTTTCTCTTACTTCAAACAGCTGAGAGAAGAAACAAAACATACACAGCCTAAACCAAGACTTGTAGGTCATTTTTGGTTTTTGGTGCTGGGGATAGAACCCAGGGCCTCCTGCATGCCTAAGCATGTGCTCCACCACCCAACTACAGCCCTAGCTAAGGGTTATTTTTAAGTGTCCTTCAAGACATCCAAATATTCAGACACACTTTACCCCATTTTCTCCTCATTTTTATCAAAATGAAGGAATCTGCTCAAACCAAAATTCAGATAGCGGCAATTATTGATTACCTCGGTCAAGGGCTATCAATTCTGTTTGGACACAGAAGAATCCACTGTCCAGAGAGGCATCACATGATTATTGAAGAAATCCATGGAAAGCAACTCCAAGTTGACATGATTGTCCAGTATGGAGCAGCTGTCCCAAACCTGAAACTCATTAGTATGTTTTACAAGCTGAGCCAAGCCACCTCAAGGGCTGTCAACCTTGTTCTGAGGACCGATTAGATGAAATATGTAAGCTCAAATTGAAAACATTCATGTCCTGCAGCCTTTCCAGGAAGTGTTCTCTGACCACTGAGCTAAACACAGAAGAATGTATAAATACGTGCACTCTGCCAACAGAGGAATTCCATTTTATTAGTTTTCTGTTTCTACCAAGTACATCTCTTTCAGTGTTGGGAATACAGTCTGGGTGTAAGTGGAGCTGGTTATTATGTTCCTTCAGCAGTCATAACACTGCCAAAGGTCTGGTCCATTTTTCCATTAAGGTGTATGTGGGTGCTATTTTCTCCCAAATGAGACATGTTCATACTCTGGTCAAGTACTGCATAATTGTCTTTCAATGGTGGATGACAGGCCTGTACTGTGGTGTGTGATGACAACACCTCTGAGAGAATGCCTAATTAAAGATGAAAAGCAGGCTGTTAATTAGCATTCAGTACAGAAGATTCATTTGGAAACTTTATTTTAAACATGGTTTCACACAGTGCACACAACTCCAAACTCAACTCAAACGGTGAGAGGCATTTCCTGGACCTATCAGGGGTGCCTATGTGATTTTTTCCTTCCCCATCAAAGAAAGGTCAAAGCATGAATAGCAAACAACACTATTATAAAGTTCTACACCCCAGTCCCATTAAGGAAGTTCGCTTTTAAAACATTTTCAATGAAAAATATACAATCCTCAAAAAAAAATTAAAAAGCACTCCTATAATCTAATTTTATACATGTCTCTTTTAAAAATATTTCTTCAAAAATCCTTTAAAAATGGCTGAAGTTTTGGTAATCAGTTTCCTGTGAATTTTCATAATCATTGGTCTAGCACTTTTATACTTTTGACTATTTACTCTGTAAAGCAGTTGGAAGATATAAAACAAATTTTAAAAATCCTTAGATGATTTTATAAAGATTCTCTTAAGTATATACATAGATCTTACATAATGCAAGATCATTTTCTCAGTACTGCGAAAATCAGAAAAAGACAAGAAAATACAATGATGGTTCGAAAATAGATAAAGAACACTTTAGCTGAAATAAGTTATACCTCTATCAGGCTGATGATTAAATTATGTAATTTGAATTTGGTAAGTGCTCTACAATTATTTTTTTTTTGGGGGGGGGTAGGGATCAAACCTAGGGCATCATGCATGCTAAGCATGTGCTCTACCACTGACCACTGAGCTATGCCCCCCAACCAATGCCCCATAATTCTTAATTGTTTTGGCCTTGATGCTTTGGAGAGAAAGATACGCTTGTGATACTATGACAAATATAGTGCCTCTCACAAAAGTATCAAAACCTTCTTGGTGAGATTTCCCATAAGTACACAGTAATACATCTCTAAAGAATGGGCTCTGGGCTGGGGATGTGGCTCAAGCGGTAGTGCGCTCGCCTGGCATGCGTGCGGCCCGAGTTCGATCCTCAGCACCACATACAAAGATGTTGTGTCTGCCGAAAACTAAAAAATAAATATTAAAATTCTCTCTCTCTGTCTCTCTTTAAAAAAAAAATAAACAATGGGCTCTGATGACCTATTTGAGAGTATTACTAAAGCATGCTTATATCTCTCAGGCTGATCATGGTACCTTCACTTACAGATTTATTAAGTGGTCACCTGTGGAAGATGATGATTCATATAGAGTATTTTCCAAGATTAGACAATTCCTATAAAGTTCTACACCCCAGTCCCATTAAGGAAAAGCTACACAAACCTTCACCAAGTGCCCAGGAGTTGAATGTTTAATCATAAAAAAAAAAAAAAAAAAAGCCCACTAACCAAACTGAACGTTAGCCTCCAAAAGAGGGAGTGTCTGATGAAAGGTGAAGGCAGGTATAGGAAGGAAAACAATGGCAGCTCACAATTCAGGCCTCACTTGCTTCACGGGTCCATTTCCTCTAGTCTGTTTCTCTTGCACCAAGCCTTTTGGGGGCTATTTATTTCTCATAATCTCAACTCATCATGCTCACACTTTTTTTATTTCGCCATTTCCAAATTCTCTAGTCACTCTTAAATGCATCTCTCTCCCTTTCCCCACTCTATCCTCAGGGATCCCAACTGATGCCCGCCATTCTCTACTCCTTTGGCTTTCTCCTGCAATCATTAACTTTCCTGAGTAGAGTCAGTGGGAGGTACACAGGCTCAAGTCACTTACAGCTATGGACCTCTGCAAGATACTCTCGGCCTCAGCTTTCTCATCTGTGAAATCATGATAATAAAATAAGCATCCATCTCAGTGCTAAAGTTGAGGTAAAATAACATGTGAAGTTCTTAGAACGTATATATCCCTAGTGCATAATATGTTCTCAGTACATGTTAGCTGTATTATTACTCAATGATCATAAACCATTAGCAAAGTCGTGAATTTGTACTGCTTTTGTAGTGAAAGAAGAACTATTCCTTAGGTTAAGAATGACACCCATGTGGGACATCACTGATATAAAATATATTTTGACCTTTGTTTTTACTACAACCATACAGTAACATATACTAACACCTATTCAGCATGAAACTAATGTAAACTGATGTTAACATATTTTGAGGGTAAACAAACATTATATGCATCTCCTCCCTGTTATTACAACTGTATGTGGATGTTTGACATATGACATCACTACCACTGCTGTTTGCTAATTGGTTGCTAAGACACTGATCTGCTTTTGCCTTTTACATGCCACTATAGTACACTGCACTACTGACATCCTTTTCATTATAAGCTTAGTGACTAATGTGGTATTTCTAAAATTATTTATCATTAAATTCTGCTCTTTGAAGGCTATATATATATTTCCATTAAATAGACTGTTTTCAGCTTAATGTTTTTTTCACTAACTTCTGTACAGCCATTCAAAACATCTCTAGTTGTTTCACTTGTTAATTACATGAAGAGCAGGGAGGGAGTATATAACTGAAAAAACCCTGGTTTTCTTCTGACATTTAAAATCTATGTTCAGAATGACTTTTCCATAAAAATTAGTTTACTTGTTTATTGAAAATAATCCAGGGCTGGGGTTGTGGCTCAGTGGTAGAGCACTCGCTTGGCACGTGCAAGGCCCTGGGTTCGATCCTCAGCACCACATAAAAAAATAAATAAAATAAACAGCAGATTGAATAAATGTATTTAAAAAAGAAAGAAAACAATCCAGCCTCCTTTCTCATTCTTTTCATTTATAGTCATTAATGCTGATTATCTTTTCCTGTGAATAAGGGTTGGTGATCACCTTTTCCAGAATATTCAAGATTCAAAAAAAGTAATTTTTTGGCTAGTCTTTCTACACAGACTTCCAAGTCAAGCTTTATGAGACAATGGGATTTTCAATTTGAGGTTTTGCTGCATTATCACTATATTAAATTCCTAACAAAACCTCACAATTATACTGGCAGAACATATTCGTTATTATAAATACCCCAAGTTGCTTTTGTTCAAGATCACTATCTTCTCAACACATATCCTATTACTTAATCAGAGCGGAGCTTACTGACTCTGGACCAATCAGTTTAAACTCCAGAAACCTCTCTCCCCTATAAACCTGACAAAAATGGTACAAAAAAATAAGAGTTTGTTCCTAAGGAAAATAGTGAGGTTATAGTATTAGAATACAAATTGTTTTCCTAGACTGCAGATTTATCAGCAAATACTGGGCACAGAAAGTCTAGTAACACTGGACTTATTTCCTAAACACTTTAATTTTTATATACTAGGTACAAAAATAATTTAGATCCTCATGTCACATAAATAATAGGTATGATTATGTATTCTTAAGCATTGGAGTAAGTAATTACCTGACAACTGTGAGGCAGAGTTCAGCGTGCCAACTCAATGATTAGTATGCTGTTAAATGACTGCTGTTTCTTTATTAGAAAGCTAGGCCTATTCAATTCAAATACATCAGAGCTTTGCTCTGGGACATCAATAGTCTTCTTACTGTTTTAGGAATTAGAATAAAGGCATTGACTAGTTATTGAGTAGGTCTCAAATGTTTTGAAATCCAGCACTAAAAGAACTTCTTAGTATTTAACCCACTGCTGCTGTGCCAGAATTGGTGGATTTGCTCCAAAACTAAGATCAGCAACTTATACTTACGTTTTGGGGCATATGCTCATTATTTCACTCCCTTCAATTAAAGCAAATAAACCATGCTTTAACTACTGAGAAGACTATTGAGAAGAGAACCAATAATTATAATCTCATAAAAATAAAGAAAATGCCACTGTGTGTTTGCAAAAACTATGCTAACAAACGCTCAAATCAGTAGCCCCCAACAATATGAAGTCTTGATCTGAAGTTGGTGATGGGACTACAAGGAAAGTGACCTACCAAGTCTATCTTCATTGTTGTGGTGGTTACATGAAGCTACATGAGAGAACACCACATGGAACTGTGTTGTGTATGTACATGTGTGCATGTTTGTAAAATTGGATAGGCATGGCTTTGATACATAATTCTCTTTATATGTTATCACTGGGTCAGCATGGGTGAAGAACTGGAAATAACCTGTGTACATTTTTTTTTCAAGATCCTATGAATCTATAATTACTTCAAAATAAAGTTAAAAAAAAAAAAACATGTTAAAATCAGAATCTCTGAGAAAGGTCTACTGAAGGACTGTCCCTGAAAGGAGAGCAAAAAACTTCCACATGATCATGGAATAGAATGCTTCTATTTTGTACACTTATGCCACAGATACTTAATTATCTTATAAAGCATTGAAGCAGATTAAATTAACCTAATAAGATACATCCTAGCCACTTGATAACAATTTGAATTTTTGGGGGGCACTAGGGTTTGAACTCAAGGACACTCAACCACTGAGCCACATCCCTAGCCCCAGTATTCGTAAAAAATACGAATTTTTTATTTACAGACAGAGTCTCACTGAGTTGCTTAGCATGCCTCATTGTTGCTGAGGCTGGCTTTGAATTCACGATCCTCTTGCCACTGGTATTACATGAGTGTGCCACCTTGCGCAGCTAACAATTTGAACGGGGGCGGGATGGGATTTCTTCAGTTTTGACTGACTATACAGATAACTGGAACCAAGAGCAGAAATAATCTTTCCTGAAAATCACAAAGGAGAAGCCATAGACATATTCCTGCTTGCCCTCTCTGCATTTCTCTTTACCCTCGTACAACTTTCCATAAATCAAACTTTTCCTTTAAACCTTCAAGTTTGACTCTCTACCACAACCCGTTTCCATTGTGAGGAATCTTCACAACTGCAGAAGCCTACACTGTGTTCAGGTCCAGGGGCACATATATGTTTTAGATTACAAGGCATTTTTAAATCTTGGCTTTATCTGCTCATAGTAAGACTAATTCTCCCTGTGCCTAAGCTGTTCCTTGGCTATGGAACACCTTTGGAAAGCATTAACTCTTTCAGGCTAGGTGGGTTTTATTTTTATATTTTAAACTGTTGGTTAGTAGTAATCTTCTAATAATGCCATCTTCATAACTGCAAAATTAATGGATTGAACTTATTTTCACTTGGAGAATAAATAAAATTTAAAATCTCCTTTCCTCCACTAGTTCTAAACTTGGCTGCACCTTAGAACTACTGGTAGCCATTAAAAATCACCAATGCCCAAGCCTGATATGGTTCTGCACACCTATAAGCATAATGATTGCAAGCTGAGGCAGGAGGACTAAAAGTTCCAGGCCAGCCTCAGCAACTTAAGTGAGATCCTGTCTCAAAGGGCTGGGGATGTGGCTCAGTGGTAGTGGGTTTAATCCCTAGTACTAAACAAACATCCCAACAACAACAACAACAAAAAAAACCAACCCAAATTACCAATGCCTATGTGCCACTTCTAGATACTAATTTGTAAATATGCAATGTAGCCTGGCCTACAGGAATTTTAAAATCTCCCCAGGAAAAACCACTGCTTTAGGACACAACTCTTCACAGGGTACACTTATCCTATTTCATCGTTCTAAACACATACACTCTAAGAGAGAAAGGAGCAATTGTATGTTTGAGTGCTTAAGAAATCTCAGCAACCATTTCACTAGGAATAATGGATCCGTAAGTTAGAGCCCCAGTGGCCTTCTCTCCCATCCTAACAATAAATGTTGGAATAATGCTTTTCAGGTCTTGTGAACCTCTACCAACACTCAGATTCACATCTAGTGAAAGCAAAAAGGCTCATGTGAGAAACAAGAGAATCCTTAAAGCATGTTTTTAAATAAAAACTTGAATATCTAAGTAAATGAACTGGTTCCTAAGAAGAAAAATGGATGTTTCAGACTTCACTACTTTTTGGGGGGGCAGGAGGTGGGGGTGGGGGTTGCTAGGGATCAAATGCAGGGCCTTGCACATGTAAAGCACATACTATCCACTGAGCTTACAGCCCCAACCTCAATGCTACTTTTCAAAAAAGGAAACAGAACCCAAAACATATATTTTAGGACAATACAAACTAATATTAAAGAAGAGGCGGGATATAAGAAAATATTTTCATAGTACTTGTGGTGCAAGTTCATAACTGCAAAGGGAATAGAGAATGACTTGGAGAAAAAGAACTGTATTTTATATACACGATTATGGGAGATTATCTTCTCAATTGACATTTTAGTTTCCCCACAATTCAAACAGTTTCTATTCCAAAAGCTTATTAGTTCTGAACTACACATACTACTCTGAACCCATTTTGTTTATCTGTATCAATTCTAAATCTAGACTTCAGAGAAAAAAATTCAAAGGAGGGCAGGATATAAAACTGGAATTTAA